TCCCTGCCAACATTGTTGAGAAAGAAGGAGGAAGAAGTAAAAGGGATTTTTCCCTTTGGTACGTCGTCGACGTTCGACGCTTTATCAAGCAACGTACTAACAAGCAACTCTCTGACTATCTTCCCTATCTCTTTATTTAAGACTCGTGGTGCTACAACCAAGTATAATACGTTTCGACGAATAATTCAAAAATAGTGATTGGAGAAAAAAGAATAAAGGAATGAGAAAGAAAGAGAGAGAGAGAGAGAGAGAGGAAAAGGTAGGGAGAGATAGAGAGAGAAAGAAGTAACGCCGACTAACCGTGTTTCGTGCAGACGCTCGCGATTTGTAACATATCGGTCAATAAATATTGTCTAAATTTTTGTAATCTGCCACACCCGATATCGATTCCTTTCTCTTAATCGTATATAGAACAGCTGGAATTCTTGATGTCACGTGAAAGGGGGTATGTATCAATTTGGCTTGTCCAATTATAAATATTTTATTTATATTCTCGAATAAATAAAAAGTCATTAATTTTATTCTAATCGAATGGTTCTTAAGCTTACTGGCATTGATAAAATAATTTTGTTTCTTGAACGTACGTTCATCGATACCTTAAAATAATAATTTTAATTGTCATCAAAGTGATTAATAGTTATTCCTTATCTTTAGTTTACGAATAACTAACAAAATCGGATAATACATGGTGTGCATTATCCGTAATAGAAAATCACGTGGTGATTTCTATTCAGTGAAATTAATTTCAATTAGTTCTTCTCTAACGAGTCCTCAAGGGCGTTAAGGTAAGTAGAGCATAACTTAAGTGTCGTGTGGGATATTGCTCATACATTTTGTCTCTTGTGGGCGATTCCAATCGTAAGTATGAAACTAAACGATTATGATTATTATCATTATAATACTTTTTCTAATACGAATAAATAACTGTAAGGATTAAAATATATCGTTATTAAATTATGAATATAATCGAGTTATGGACTTTTCTTATCTTTTACTTCTTTTTTTCATTCATTCAATTTTCCTTTTTTTTTTTGCAGTATTACATAATATCTTTTATCGCATTTCATTTTCCATTATTACAAATAGCACAAACGCAACCTTCATTCCAACGCAAAATCTTTTTCTAAAACTTTTCTCATGCTTAGATCGGGAAGAAATTTCTGCGTTCCATTATTTATCTCAATCATTCGAAACGAAACTTTCACGCCTCACCGGTTATAACGCTGTCTTCGCTCGAGTAGAACCGTAACGAAAGTATTCTTGTTTCTTTGTCGTTAAAATGATTAGATAAAATAGGTCGAAGATCGTAAAGAGATTCTTTCAAAGGGAACAACCAATAATCGTTTTACGATCGTTGAAGATCGATTGACCGAAGTAGCCATTGTAATTAGCGAAATTGCTTTCACAAATAACTGTTCATTCGAACATGATGTGAGCACGTCACTTCGAATCTCGAAAGTAATCGATCCTACATGAGATTTTAATTATGGTAATAACATCCAACACTTGACAATCTTCTCTAGCTCTCTCTCTCTCTCTCTCTCTTTCTCTCTCTTTTGCTCTCTGTTGGCGTATTTATACGATAGGTACGTAGTCATGCGACGCACTGACGAAGAAAGCTTTGTTTACGTATGCAACAAGTTAAATCGATAACGTGCTGCTCCTATGCCGTCAGAAGCTCCGGCTCCTGTAACCTTGACAGTCTGCGACCTGGCTATCTCAATTATATCGAGCCAGCCGGTGCTTCACGCACATGCAAATCTTTTTTTATTCATTAGAACGAGTTCCTTTAAAGTAGTTACTTTTTCTAGCAGTCGATCATCATCCATTTCTATTTTTAATCGAACACTTCGAGACACCGCATCGAAAAAATCGAGTATTCCGAGAATCGATATTAAGCGATAAATAAACTTTGAAAAGTATTTTAATTCTGTATACGAGAATGTCAATTTAATAGGAGCGAAACGTCGCTGAAGTTTTTTTTTTTCTATCGAATAAATCGATTACCTCTTGAAAAAAGATCATACAAATTCAGTAGTATGTTCGCAGCAATCTCATTTTCAGGGAATCTACTTTTTTTTTTTTTTTTAAAGCTCTCTTCCGAAAGCAAAGGGTATAGATTTAATGGAGAATAACACGTCAAGAGTATAGATGCGGATATCGATCGATATTCGATGTTTACACATGGACTATCTCAAAATCTCTTTCTCATTGTTCTCTTCTTGATTGATCAAGAATGGAATATCTCTCATTAAATAATTTCAAACGCTTCACTTATTCCAATGTAGACGTCAATTTTCACGAAATTTACACTTCGTCGGGATAAAGTTTGAAAATAAGTATAAAGTAGTTATCCGAGTTCATTAACTTAGTACTTGATTGATTTCCTATTGTTCACCTTTGCAATTTACTTCGAAAATTTTTATTACAGATCCGTGTCTGGCAGTTTCATCATCAAAGATTGAAAAAAAAACATTAGATGCAAGAAAAAATTTCGACGTTTTTCCCTTTTTACGGCTGATTTTTTTTTTCTTTTACTATTTTTCTTTTCCTTTTTTTTTTTCGTCTTTCTAAAAATTTCACAACCTGGCCTTGACGACAATCAATTTCGATAAATCGAATTGTACCACAAATTATATTATTTTTCTATTCCTCATCTTCCTAAGGAATAATCATTACCGTTGATTTCTTAATTGCAACAGTTTGAGAAGGCATCCGTTAAACGATCGCGCATGTGCCGACATACGCGCAGTGTCCCCGGAACACTATCCCAGGTTATGTCACGGATATTCCAAGGCAGAAAAAGTTCCCAAGGGAGCACCGTATTCGCATATAATGAACTCGGATCGATCGATAGCGCGCACGGCCACTGTGCGGACTGTGAAAGCGTAGCACCTGGAAAACTCGACGGAAATCCAGGTGCATGCGTTGCCAAGATGCGTATCTGTGCGGTAGGATAACGGGATAAATTCGAAATTTTTAATCTTTGATTATAGTTGTTGTTTAATTAAATAAAATCTATTAGTATATATATATATATATATATAATATGATAGGTATGCATGTCGATGAAAATAAATTATAATATTCCAAGCGTAATCTAATAATGTTAACATATATGAATAAATATGAATATTCAAATAACAGGATGAAAGTAGGTATTACAGGAAAAGAAAAGAAAAAGAGAGAAATTTCTTTTCTTGGAAAGACATGGGTGGAGCGTGGCTATTCTACAGGTCGAAGGAGAAGCATCGACCTTGAATGAACCTCGCACGGGTCGATGGAGTCCTTGAAATTTGCACCCTCATCGTATAGCTTAGGAGTGTGTTTATCCTCCTACTATCGACAAAGATCCTTTATAAAGAAAGAAAAAGAGCGAGTGAGTGAAGAAGTGAGGATAAAAGCTAGAGAGAGAGAGAGAGAGAGTGAGAGAGAGAGAGGGAGAGAGAGAGAGAAAGAGAGAGAGAGAAAGAGAGAGAGAGAAAGAGAGAGGAGAAAGACACACAGCGATACGATCCAATACTGTATACGAAATAGAATCGCTTGATACGAAGCACGATAGGAATCGTTACACTAAAATAGCAAAGCTCTCCTGTTCGTGCGAGGACGTCGCGTGCAACAAGTATCGCGCCAGCTCTGGGGGAGGATGCCACGTGACTTTTACCCCGGCGAGTCGATATTGACCGGAAGCGGGAATCGTCGAAACTTTTATTCGAATTCCTTCATACTTTTTTGTACTTATCTCTTTCCTTCTTTTCTTTTTTTCTTTTTTCTTTTTCGTTTTACTTTTCATCTCGCCTTTATCTTCAGAAAGAGAAGTTATTTAGAAACAAATGTTCGTATATCGATCAATCGATTGCCGTCGTTAAATTTTCCATAGAATTATTTTTGTTCACGCATGGTGTTCACATAATGATGTAGGGTAAAAGATAAACTGAGGGCGAGGTGATTAATTTAGAACGGTTGTTTTTGAAACCATTATAAAGGAACGTCCTATGGAACGTCCTACGGATTATACAAGAATTTTTTACGCTTTTGCATAAGTTGTGATGCATTGATCAGACAGATAGATTTCTCATATAATTTTAAATCTACTCCTTTATTCGAGAAAAGATAATATTTATATCTTTAAAAATTAACGAGCGTTTTAAATAATTATTAAAAACAGAAATGAAGCAATCTTAAATGGTATACCTTGACCCTTAAACGCATACCCAAGTACTCTAGGCAACGATAAAGGAACTTAAATCGAGCGAATTCTCTTATCTCCTTTCTCCACGTTCTTGCAAACGTTTCCATCTAAGGTACTTTCCTTTAAAGAAAAAATAAATATTTTCTTTCTGTAGGCGTTTGATTTTGAAAAGGCGGAAACGATAGAACTATATTTTAGTTTCTATTAACGGAAAAGAAAGACGACAAATGTCTTTTAATTTTATTTTCATTTTACTTCGATTTTAATGAGAAGTCACAAAAGTATTGTTAAAACTGCCGGAATATTAAAAACAGAAAGACAAGGATACTAATATTAAACATTAAAGATACATGCGTTTTGACTCTTTGAAACTATTTCAGTCTAATCAGGTTTGCGTATTAATATCTATATTGTCTCGGAAAGCTCGTTGATACTATCAGGAAAATGAGACTTGACTATTTATAGAGAATATTACTCTGTTCTTTGTATTTTTCTTGAATATTATAATATATTTAGAATTGAAATAAAATAAAAATATATTGTAAAATGGTAAATAAAGAATATTCATAAAGAGTTAAAGCTTATGTTTTTACATGCTTTACTTAACATAATAAAAAAATCTATCTTTGAAAATGAAATTGTAATTTTATAAACATGAATTGATATCGAAAGATCCGAATAAATCTATCGATATATACCTGTATATATTGAAACATAACAGATGAAACGAGAAAGCAAATAAATAAATATATATATATATATATATATATATATATATATATATCAAGGGAGAGAGAGAGAGAGAAAGAGAGAGAGAGAGAAGAGAGAAGAGAGTGTAATATTATCAGGCACGAATAAGCAGCCGAGACCTTCACCGAGACCCAGTTGGTCGACATTGCCCCTGTGCTATACTTGTCCTACCCCGCCCAAGCAGCTACAGCGGCAGCATCAGCAGCGACGACGAAAGCAGCGTACTCACACAGAGACGCAAGCTAGACACGCATATAGACAGCACTTAGGGAAGAGAAGGATGGAGGAGGTGTAGTAGGTACGTCTGGTGAGCTAGGAGAGAATAAGTGGGAGAGAAAAGGGAGAGGGCAAAGCCAGTCCACAGACACAAATACCCTCCACTAGCATCACCACTACCACTACTACAACTACTAAAAGTAATAGCAGCTGAAGCAGCAGCAGCAGCAGCAGCAACAGCACCAGCAACAGCACCAGTACCAGCACCAGCATCAACACCAGCACCAGCACTAGCACCAGCACCAGCACCAACACCGTCATTAGTCTACATACTAGCCTGTTCACCCTGGCCTAGGGGTTTACCTTGCTCTCCTCGTGCTGTTACGACTGTGTCGGGGTTTGGGGGTGTAGACGCAGGCGCGAACGCAGACGGAATATAGGTGGACAAAACGGCGCCGAGCATTCCGTCAAAGCCAGACAGTGCGGCACGATCGAAAGAGAGCGAGAGCGAGACCGTGGAAAAAGAATTTCGATCTGGAAGAAAAATCTCGTCCTTCGGTTTTTCTTATAATATATTTTTTGTTCGTTGTCAAATATTATCATTCGAGTATCTCACGTTGTCAGGATTCTTTCTATTCTTTTCGTGAGAAATGGGAATCGTCAAAACGGCATCCGAGAGTATACTAGAAGAGACGGTCGTACCTAGCGAAGAAGCTAATTATTCCTTGCAAGGACATACTGGTGAGTTATGATTTTTTTTTTCTTTTCTTTTCTTTTCTTTTCTCTTTTACTATATATCAATGTATCCTCAAATATTACAACGGACGATTATTTTATTTTCGAATTCGCGATGACGATGTTAATTACCTTTCAATGGCTGTGCTTTAACCACGATTCTATTCGGCGCGCAAGTATCTGACCATCTAACAGGTGTTTGGAGATACAGATATAGCAACAGTGCGCGAAAGACGATCGTCCGAGTTTTACTTTACTTTCATGCACATTATTGTTTTCTTTTTTTTCTTTTTACTTCACAATCAATTAATATTAATCATGTTTATTATAAACAAGTACATGAGAACTATGAAGATCTTTCTGTGAATGCTTTTTTCTGTTGATCACGATGACAATAAACATTATAAAGTACTTATTTATTACTCGTTAATATACTCATTCATTGTAATGATAACTGATACGTAATGATTGTTTTCATTTCGACGAATATCATACACGTAACAAAATTCTTCTTTGAAATTATACCAATTATCATAAAATAAATTTTCTAACAAAAATCATGAAATAGATAGAAGATCTTGTTAAAACTTTAATAATTGCTGACGATGAAAGACTTAATACTTATAAGAATGTAATTATTTTATACACAGATGAGATATTTCAAGATTTTTCAAGATTTCAGTCTCATTATTTACAATTTTAAATCCCGTTCGATCGGTACATTGGAAAATCGATAAACGAACGTCAAAATCCTTCTGAAAGGATTATACTCAGTTTAAACGTAAACCATTAGAAGATTACAAATAAGCTTTATATTCAGGGTCAAGAGTACTTAAATCGAAACGATCGTTTTAGTTGGTACCTCGAATACGCTTGCGGTTACGAGCAATGGGGAGGTGGTACGTGGGTATTTATTGATTACGCCCTTGAAAGAGCGATTCGTTTTGACGTCCTAGTTAGATGCGTTTAATTAAAGAGAATTAGAGCGATGGGTATAGTATTATCTCTAAGTGAACATTTAACAATAATACGATGTATGATTTTCGTTTATTTGAAAACGAACATTTTTATTCGAATTTATTCTTGTAATATAAACGTATGTAAATTCTGAAAATAAAAGTTTACATTTTGCGTTTCGATGCATTATGAAAATTGTTTACGAAATTTTATGAGAACATTGTATTTATCGAACTACGTGTTGCATAACTGGGACACTCCTTTCCGATTGGTTTTATAAAACGAGGAATAAGAGAAAAAAGAAAGAGAGAGAAAGAGAGAAAAAAAAAGTAGAAGGTTGGGATATTAAAAGCGAATGAGAATTTATAAGCCTTCGCGGAAAACGGTGCACGCTAACTTCATATTAAAGACGCAGAACAATGTGGAATCCTCGTCCTTGGCCTCGACTATCGACAGTTCGACAGAAAACTTATGCTACGCTCGGGAGACGACGAATTTCAAGCACATGCCTTTCGTGTGCTACTTATTAATAAAATCGATATAAATAGATGGAAGAAACCATTTTTGAATATAATTAGATACGTTGTTATTTAACAATTTGAGATCCTGCGAGATATTATCATGGAAAACGACTCTGCAATAATTATTAATTTGTTAGTAATGATAAAAAATTTAATTAATTATGATATCATAATATTATAATTATGATAAAAAATTTTTTCATTAATTTGATTATAAATTAATGATATAATTTATTGTAAACGTATCGATGAGATGATGATTAACAAAATGTTTCCTTAATAATTAATATAAATTATGATCTGATATATTGTGCTATATATGAGATAAATGATTCCATTTTACATAACAAGTTTGGATAATTCGAAAATAGGCAAGTCATCTTAAGATCCCGGATCTCTTGATATACATTTAAAATTTATTTTTATACATTTTAAAAACATGTATAGAAGTTACCTCTCGAAGGATAAACTCGATGCGCCATTGAACTTGCCGTTATATCTTTACCAAGAGAAAACTTTAAGAAGAATATTGCGAAGTTAAGAGACATATTTTCCTAGACAATAAATTTTAGTCATATAAAAAATGCTGAAAAAGAACTCTTATCTTTTGCGAGAAAAGTAGAAAAAATACTTTCCTTTCGAGATAATCATGATAAACAGATGAATAATTTCCTATCGCCGATTATTTACAATCCCCGTTAATACTCGATACTCGATGCTTGATATATGTCACTTAATCCTATTTATCGATTCTCATTATGAGGATTTTTAAGCCATCCTTTATATAATAGATATTCACATTACAATGAATTTCATTTGAATTGAAATTCCGTATGGTTTGAAATAATCAATGAGAAATATAATGCAATGTCACATTGGTTGACATTATTACTATAAATTATGTGTTAGTACTAATGGTATAGTACTATATTGCCTATTAAAATTTTAAAGGAATTTTATAATCATTAACGAATAATCGATAAAGATGTGTAAAATGTTTTGATATGATATTCGATAGAGTTAAGCGACGATGATTTCAGAATACGGAAGGATATGACAATTAATAGGTTGCATTTAGCGAAGCTTCAATAATCCGTTAACATCCGAACGGATCTCGTTTATGCGGTTTGATCGATTAATGCAGTTCATATCGTGTGCAGCTTAACATTCTTGCATTTATTATGAACTACTCAGGAAGTTTGGAGGGACACTGATCGAATAGATGTGGAATAGAAAGTCATTCATTATTCAATTCAATGGAATAATACAATATCGACGAGGTAAACATTGTGTTGACATGAACATGTTGACATGAAATAGTGTGGTGAAAAAAAAAAGAAAAGAGAAAAGAAAAAAGAAAGTGATAATTCGTCGCGGACTATTTGAAATGTTATCAATTACTTTCATTATCTCGACTGATTGGGAAATCTTCTTCTCTCTCGAATCTGTCTTCGTAAATAGAGGATGGCTCCTTGGGCGTCGTAAATGGGCAAATGTCGCTGGAGTCCTCTTTTCTAAGCAAGTGCAATGATGGCGGGATTTCGAATTTGGATCTATCGCTTAGAATTCTTATAGTAATATCGTCGAGCACATCTTCTTTTAAAAATATATCTTCTTGTAGTTTATTCATATTTTCTAGGATCATGCTTATAGTTTCAGTGTGATCGGGCTGAAACATTTTTCCCTCGGGATTTTCTTTAAACAAGTACTCGGCCTATTGTGAGAGAAAATCGGTGCATAAGTAGTTACAGTCGGGATATAATCGGACTAGAATAAGATAAAGATATTAGAAGAATAGGATGAATACAAACATGATCTTTATCTTTAAATATTTTATTTATGTAGAGAAGATTAAGAAAGATAAAAAAGATACATGATTACTGGAAAAGAGAGGGAAAGAAAGACAGACAGAGAGAGAGAGAGAGAGAGAGAGAGAGAGAGAGAGAGAGAGAGAGAGAGAGAAAAGTTAGGGAGGAAAATAAAAGTAATGAAGGTATTTTGATATCTTTAAGTACCTTTATATCTTTCTAAAAATGAAGAGAAAGAAAAGAAATAAACAAAGTAGAGTAAATTCGCGATTGAGTAAAAAAACATGAAAACTGATTGTACGTACTGAGTCATTCTATGTTTTTAATATTTTTTTCCGAAAATATCTCAGCAGAAGAAATAAATTACTCAGTAACACATATGAATTTTTTTTATCCAAAAAAATTTAATATTTCTGGATAAAGATAGCTTTCATAAAGAATAAGAGAGAAAGAGAGAGAGAGAGAGAGAGAAGAAAGAAATAAAAGAATAGAAAAGGTAACTAGGTGTTTGTAACTGTTTCATATGCCGTTTGCGAGGAAAAACAATGAATAATTAAGAAATACGTAAGCTTTCGATATAATGACGCTTTAATAACGATACCTTTTCATCAAAAGGAAGTAAGAAAAGAAATCGAAATTGAAAGAAATAAAGGAAGGAAAGCGAAATGAAAAGGAAAAATAATGGAGGAACGAAACAACTAGCAGGAAATAATCGCGTAGGATATTTGCCCACACACAATGGTACGTTGAACTGATAGAAATATATATATATATATATATATATATATATATATATATATATTTATATATATATATATTTATATATATATATATATATATATATATATATATATATATAAATATTCGAAGATATTCGCTTTCAAAGATACGTCACGATTGAAATGTCGTCAAGGAAACAACGCAATGCCGTTGAGATGACCGCGTAGTCCATTTATAAAATAGGTCGGTTCTTCATAGTCTTCAACATGGGCCGACCTATTTTCCTTGCCTTTATTCATTCTACTTCTTTCTCTCTCTCTCTCCCTCTCTTTCTCTCTCTCTCTCCCTCTCTTTCTCTTTCTCTCTCTCTCTCTCCCTCTCTTTTTCTTTCTATCTCTCTCTCTCTTTCTCTTTATCTCTCTCCCTCTCTCTTCCTTTATTTCCTTCTCTTTCCTATCAATTTAGTTATATGTATATCCTCTACTGTTCTTTTCTCTTTGTTTGAAATAAAATAAAAAAGAATAATCTTCTCCGGTTGGCCGATATTCGACGATGCTCAAAATGTTTCACTTCCATGCTTCGAAAAGCTTCGAGGTTATATAAGGTGGTAAATTTTAGATTAACGTATCGGACTACCAATATGGAGATACTTCGAACCTGCGTGTATCAGATTTTTGTTAGAGTCAAAGGTAATGGTATAAAATTTCCATATTTTTGCCCATGTTTTTAATTTTTTTTTTCTTTTATATTTTTTTTTTTTTTTTTTTTTTTTTTTTTAATCAAGGATTAACTCCATTCGTTAATATCCGAATGCTCTTGCATCTTCGACAGACCTTGGTCGTGTATTTATAAAAATTAATTAATATTTGCGTTATTTTCCAAGTGAAAACGAGCAATTACGATTCAAAGAGAACACCCTGTATGTAAATACGTTATATCGATCCTTTCTAATCCAAGTATAAACTCTTGTTTTCATATAAAACTAATATATTAAAATTGT